CCCCCCCCCCCCCCCCAGGATCTTATGAGCAGGGAACACAATGTTTTGTCTTGAAAACAATTAATATTTCAAACACCGTTTAAGTTGCCTTCTTTCAACATGAGCTAGTTTACTTTCCATAGGACATTGGTTTTATTAATTTTCATATTCATTTCAGTAGCTTTACTACAATTTATAAGCAGCTGGAGTTTTTATATGCATTTTGCTTACCAAAAATGTGACCAGCCAACTCATGAAAAAACATGATTTGCTCAAATAGGTTATTTTAGGCTTGGACCTAATACACTAAAACAACAACATTGCTTTCCTCCATTTTTTATGAAAATCCCATGCAACACACTCAGCCAAACCAATGCAATGTTCAATCAAGATTAAGTCGGAACTCTTGCTCCCTCGCTTGAGAAGCAGCAGGACTGAACAGCAAATACGCTGCTTACTTACCTTGAGGTACTTTTCTAGCATTTTCACTATGTGTTTGCTATTTAGGACACTCTTAGCTACGTGAAAACTGGTTTTCTTGAAATGTTCGACTGCAATCTAGAAGTAACAAGTATATGACTCATTATACTGGTGATACATACAATAAGCACAATACTATGTTCCTAGTTATCTCTCTTATGTCACAGCATCAGCCTCGTGCTCACATGCACCCATGCATATCTGTACTCATAAGACATTCCTGATAGATGAAGAGGGTGTGGGAAAGATATTTCTGATGATCCCTCTTCTCTGCAATCCACACATCTCTCAAAATTTGATGAAAGAAACCTTCTAGAACAGTGGTTCTCAACCTGGGTTCCCCAGATGTTTTTGGCCTTCAACTCCCAGAAATCTTAACAGCTGGCTGGGATTTCTGGGAGTTGTAGGCCAAAAACATCTGGGGACCCCAGGTTGAGAACCACTGTTCTAGAAAAACATGAGGTGTTGCTAGAAAGGTGGATAAAATGAATAAAAACAGCTCTTCCACTGAAGGAAGGACACCTCTCAAAGCAAGCTACAATCACCATAGAATCATAGTGTTGGAAGAGACCATATGGGCCATCTAGTCCAACCCCTTGCAATGCAAAAAAAAAAAAAAAATACCCCTGACAGATAGATATATAGTCTTTGTTTAAAAGCTTCTAAGGAAAGAGCTTTCACCACACTCCGAGGCAGCTCTTACAGTCTTACAGTCAGGAAGTTATTCCTAAAGTTCAGGTGGAATCTTCTTACCTGTAATTTGAAACCATTGCTCTGAGTCCTAGTTTCCAGGGCAGCAGAAAACAAGCCTGCTCCCTCCTTGTTGTGACACTCTTTCACATATCCATACATGGCGATCATGTCTCCTCTCAACCATCTTTTGCAGGCTAAACATACTCAGCTCTTTAAGATGATCGTCATAGAACATGGTTTCCAGATATTTGAGCATTTTAGTTGCCTTCCAGACACCTTCCAGCTTGTCAATATCTCTCTTGAATTGTGGTGCCCAAAATTGGACACAAGTGAGATCTAATCAAAGCTGAATAAAGAGGCTCCATTACTTCCCTTGATCTAGGCCAGTGGTTCTTAACCTGTGGGCTGCGAACTACCAGCGAGCTGCAAGGATGAAAATCTGGTCCACAAGCCTCCTTTCTCTTTATTTATTTTATTCTATTAATTTTATTTCTGGTCCTTTCGTACCTCCTTCCCTGTCGCTGACCAAGCATATGTTTTGTACCAGAAACTAGAACTGATGTAGTCTATCCAATGCAATTTTCTGAATCAGCACCCCAAACAAAATCTAAAATTGTTTAAAAATTGATTGGTAACCCTTTTGGTACTAATGTTGGGAGAGTGGTCCCTGGTCAAAGTGGTTCCTGGTCAAAAGAAGGTTGGGAACCACTGATCTAGACACTATACTCCTTTTGATGCAGCCCAAAATACCACTGGCTTTTTTTAGCTGCTGCATCAAACGGTTGACTCATATTCAACTTGTTGTCCATGAAGGCTCCAAGATCTTTCTCACATGGTCTGTTGTCGAGCCAGGCATCACCCATTCTGTATCTTTGCATTTCATTTTTTTCTGCCTAAGTGTAGAATCCTACATTTGTCCTTGTTGAAATTCATGTTGATAATTTTGGCCCAGCTCTCTAATCTGATACGGTCATTTTGATTCTGATCCTGTCCTCTGGAGTATTAGCTATCCCTCCTAATTTGTTGTCATTTACAAACTTGATAAGCATGCCCTCTAAACCTTCATTCAAGTCATTAATAAAGTTGTTGAATAGTACTGGGCCCAGGACAGAACGATGCGGCACCCACCCCACTAGTCACTTCTTTCCAGGATGATGTGGAACCATTGGTGAGCACCTTTGGGTTCAGTTGCTTAACCAATTACAAATTCACTTAATAGTAGCATTGCCTAGCCCAAGTTTGACTAATTTGTTTGCAAGAAGGTCATGGAGGACCTTACCAAAAGCCTTACTGAAATCAAGATATGCTACACTGACAGTATTCCCTGCATCTACCAAGCTTGTAACTCTATCAAAAAGAGAGAGATAAGATTAGTCTGGCATGGCTTGTTTTTGAGAAATCAGTGTTGACTTTAGTAATCACAGTGTTCCATTCTAAGTGATTACAGACTTCCTCCTTAATGATCTGCTCCAGAATCATCCCTGGTATTGATGTCAGGCTGGCAGGATGGTAATTGTTTGGATCCTCTTTTTTCCCTTCTTGAAGATAGGGACATCTGTCCTCCTCCAGTCTGCTGGGACTTCTCCTGTTCTCCGAGAATTCTCAAAGATTATTGTCAGTGGTTCTAAAATTACTTCTGCTAGTTCTTTCAATACTCTTGGATGTAGCTAATCTGGCCCTGGAGACTTGGATTCATTTAGAGTTGCCAGGTATTCCTGGACTATTTTTTACTTGTTTTGGGTTGCATTTCCCCTATTACCTTGTCCACTCCATATTGCTCAGGTTGAACACCAATCTCCTTTTGGGAGAAGCCTGAGGCAAAGAAGGTGTTGAGCAGCTCTGCCTTTTTCCTATCCCATTAGCATTTCACCACCTTCTCACAGTGGCCCTACCGTGTCCTTTTTCTTCCTTTTTCTACCAACATAACAGAAGAAATGCTTTTTATTGATTTTAATATCTCTGGGAAGCTTAAGTTCATTTTGTGCCTTAGTCTTATGAACCTTTTTCTCTACATATGTTGGTTATTTGTTTGAATTCCTCTTTGTGATTTTTTCCCCTTTTCAATTTTTTGTGGATATCTCTTTTAAATCTTAGCTCAGTTAAAAGTTCTTTGGACATCAATTCCAGCTGCTTTATACTTCTTACATTTTCTCCTTGTTGACACTGTTTGCAATTGTGCCTTCCATAGTTCACTTTTAAGAAACTCCCATCCAACATTAACTCTCTTCTCTTTTAGTATTCCTGTCCATGGAATCACACTCAGTATTTCGTTAAATTTCCTGGTCAGCTCTCCTAAAGTCTAGACTGCATGTTTGACTTCTCTTAGTTTCCCCCTTCCTTTGCATCACAAACTCCAGGAGCACATGGTCACTCCCATCCAAGGATCCCACCACTTCCATTCCATTGACCAGATCCTCAGTGTTGGTCAGGATCAGATCAAAGAAAATCTTTATAGACATTAAACATAGGAGTGGAAATGAAGATATCCCTAAATGACTAGAAGATTTTTAGGCCTTTATATTGACAAAGTGAACAAAACTTACTACCAGAGGAAACAAAAGTGACAGTGTTTCATCTACTGTTACTTGAATGTTCAAAACAAAAACTCTGTTAATGTTTAACAGAACTTCCTTTCCTGATTACTCTTATATAATTAGTTCATATGGTAACCATCCATCCCCACTCCATAACTTGAGGAAGGCGCAATGGTGCCCTAGAAACCAGGATACAGAACAGTGGATTCAAATCCCAGAAAAAAGAGATAAACATTAGGAAAAACTTCATGATGGTAAGAGCTGTTTAGCGGTAGAATATGCTGCTTCCTTGGAGTGTGGTGGAGCCTCCTTCTCCTTCATCTCCTTTAAGTAGTGGCTAGGTGGTCATCTGTTGGGAGTTCTTTGATTCCATGTCTCTGCATGGCAGACCAGGGTTGGATTGGATGGCCTTTGGGGTCTCTTCCAACTCTAGGATTTTATGAATTTGCACATCCCTTTCATTCTGTCTGTATTGAAAAAGTAGCACATCTAGCCCACCCCCGCCCCCACCAAAGGATTAGAACCCCGATGTCTACATTTTGACAATAATGATAGGATAAATTACAAACATCACTGAAGCATGAAAACTAGTAAAAAAAAACATAAATTCTAAGCAGTGATCTCTTCTGCCAATCACTTCAGAAAAACTTTTCCTAACCATATCAGTCCCAAGATATCAGGAACTCTATAGACAAATAAGTATAGAATCATAATTCATACTCCACAGAAAAACAATTAATCTATGTACGCCTCATATTATGATCCCTGATAACCTGGAATCTTCACACATATTCCTTACACTAATCAGATGTTCAGCACACAAAACAAACTGCTAGTCTGCACTTGCCTTAAAATGTTATGAAAGCCTCTTTTGGCATTTTTTTTCATTTTGTGGTAGGAGACAGAAGATATTTCTGCCCCTTGTTATAAATGCTTTCTGGATGAAAGGCATCTAACAAATCACAAATACTTGCTTTTCCTATAGTGAAGTAACTTTCAGTTTGAGTGAACTACTCTACTTAAAGCAAAGAAATATTTTATTATCAAACAAGAACTATAAATCCCAGAATGTGATATAAGCATTGGATAAAGATGATCTATCTATGCATTAATGACTAATACTGAAAACCTAAACAACTTTTTAAGAAGTAAGCCCCAATCAACTCAGCAGGAATTATTTCAGTAAACTCCACAGGGCTATACTGTAAGACTTTTCTAGGGTACTTACCCTGCGATTTCTGTTATGATCAACAGACCGTAAATGCCTCTGAAGAAGATGCGGTTGTGCAGGAATTAGCATATCACAAGCTAAGCAATGTGCGGCTTCTATCTTTTTAAAAAAGTGCTCCTGGTCAATTCCTGAAAAAAGAGACATGAAAAATAACTCAGTTCCCATCAGTGGCATATTTTAATAATTTTAAGCAGAGGAATTTAAAAAATGCTGGGTATGCCATTGAGGAAAAACTCTATCGCTTACTAGAATAGTACCTACAAAGGATTGGTTCATTTCATAATATGCTGGAGCAACTTGTCCCTAATACATTGGAAGTTAACATAGTGGCAATGTGAATAAGGTGAATTGTATTGTCGAAGGCTTAGGTGAACTTCTTGTCCAGATGTCTATCCTTTGGATATAAGGATCTCTGCCTCCATACAAAAGTCTTACTGCACCATCATAAAGAAATCTTTTGGCATTATTAACGAATGCATGAGCTTACCCAGTTTTCTAAAATAATATCCCCTAGCAGCTATAAATGAAGATGCATGCCTTTCAAAGACTATCACAGCACATCGCTACTTGTATAGAACATCCGACTTTTGCATTGAGTATAAAAATAAGTAAGAAAAATAAAAAAGGTGTTAAGTATCTTTTGGGGCAGGAGGAAAAAGGTGATAATGGCTTATTGGCTCATTTATTAAGAGTAGCTGGCAATACTAAAGCATTTTAGTGCAGACGCAACTTGCTTTCACTTTGAAGTGTCAGGTCAGCCACTGCTAGCAATGAAATGCAGAACTGGTAGAAACTCATCCTGATCCATTAGGGCTCTTCTTCTGTGGAGATCCAAGGGGGATCAAACTAGATAAAGGGACCCTGCAAACTCTTCAAAGAAAGTTCTTTGAGCATTTTTCCCAATTATGTCTTTCAAGGTCTTTTTGCAAAACAATCCTAAATCCCCAGAATAGGAAAAAAAATGAACTTGTTTCCTATCCTAATTTCTTGCATAATCAAAAGGCCTATTTTAAAAGTACTATTTTTCCTTACATTAAAAAAAAGCCACCATAGTTATAAAAAATATGACTAACACGAATCTATTTCAAAGGATTGCTCCAAAAAAAGAAAATGTGATAAGCTCATGTATGTCACTTGATTCATTTAATGAAGATTAAAATAGAAGTATGAAATAAACAAAGCCACTTGGAATGAAGCGTTATGGCTTTATCATTTTTCCTCCTTCTGCCCAGTCTCTGCTGCCTTTACTGCACAATAGCCCACTCACCTCACTTCATGTTGTCTTTGTCTAGAGATCCTACTAAGTCATTTAAGTGCATTTGTTTTTCTTGTCACAGGCTGAAATAGTGTTATCTCAGCATCGTGCCTAATGAAAAACTGAAGAATCTCTCATCCCCGAACACACTTTTTAAATGGCAGTTAAGGAATTAATGACAGATGCCTCTATTGAATAATGTTCCATTTACCTTTGAAAGGATCTGGTTTTTGTTTTGTGCTCTCTTTCTCTGTCAGCTCTTGCCGACGCTTACCAATTTTCTTATTTCTATTAACAATGTATTTCTGGGAATGGGGAGAAATGCACATATAAATCAGTTTCATAAACATGAAATAATAAAAGGAGTTGAAGAGGAGACACTGTAAGCAAAGCAAAAGCCCTTTTTCCACTAAAGAAAGGATATAATAGAAATAGACAAATTGTTTTATCATTGGGCAGTTGGAGAACCGTGGAATCTGTAACAATGGCTTAATGGTAGATTCACGGACTCAGTTTTATATGCAACTATAACTACTTTTGGGGACTCTTCAGGCAACAATAATCTCAACTATTCTCAGTCTAGAATTTGGGAAAATACTGTAATGATAAGGCATATCTTCCAAACATAAACAGTTTTAAAATGACATACCTGCAGGAATTCTACAGTTCTGTCAGGCAATTTGGTCCCAATGTATTGCAAGACATCTTTGTGAAATTTGCTTTGCAAATGCTTCTCCATTTCTTCTTCTTCAAGACTTCGAAATTTGCATACAGAGCAAGCAAACTGAATTCTAAAGGAAGGCATTTAAATTGTTTTGTGTTACAGAGACCTGAAGTCATCATTTCTTCAGTTTACAATAGAAATTAAACTCCTTACAAAACAATTTCTAACATCCTGAGAAAAGCAATTAAATTATTAAATTATAGCTCATTTCCAACAAGTACTTTTCTATATTTCAAAACAAAAATAAAATATAGTTTCATCTAAAAAACAATGATAGAGTTGAAGAAAAGCAGAGATATAAGTCTTACTGACCGAGTGCATTTTTACAGCACCAGAATGTATTTGTTTATGGGTTCTCTGAAAAGGATTTCACTTATACTGAGAAAGACAAACTCCTGCTGTTTTACATTGTTTATAAAGCAAACATAATTAAAATACATTTGTATCTCCATCAAAATCTCTGTCTTTGTAGCATGTCCAACGTTCTTTTTGATGTCTCCTCTAAAAAGAGAAAGAGGGAAAATGGGCATAACCATGAAGCAGCCACTTGTGTTTTAGGCCTGAATCCTATCGCTAGTCCCAACTGAAGCAGAGCCACTGAATCCATTAAATTTACAATGCTGTGGGTTAAAATCAAGTGATTTTAATGTAGTGGGCCTACTGTAGTTTTACAAAGTAAAGCTCATTCTTTGTGAATAAAAATATTGATGAAAATCCTGAGTCTGGGTGGTGGAGTGGAGTTCAGTTTTAATTAGGTCTGTTTGTTTTATTGCTCAAGCTTATATTTTGACCTTATTGCTCTTTTCAAGGATTGTAAACTGCTTTAAAAGACCATCTGAGATGTAAGATAGTTTATCGAAATATACCAAGTCTTAAAAGGAACTGAATTAAATAACTGACAAGGAGCAAGATCTACAGGCCAATTCACATCAATTAGGTTTATTTTAAAATCTCTTTAAACTCTACCATCCTTTCAAGCATGCAGATACATACAGTTTACAGTAAATTGTTGCCCGCTATCATGCAAGTTAGCATTCTTGATAGCATATTTTCCAACAACACAGGAATGAAACTATTTTGTTATCTATAGTCTCAACTTGGATAGCCTATTCCTCTGTATACCCCATTCCCATGATTTATACAATCTCTTTTTGTACAATACCTTTTTGTGAATATTCCAAATTCAATGTTTTAAGCGGGAAACAGTCATAACACAAGGAGAAAACAGTTCAGGTAACTAAAGTGAAACCTGCACAGGCAGAAGACACAACTGCTGTGTATTCAAAATCAAGTCTGATATGTCACCCAATATTATTTTTAAAAACTGGAACTGTAGCTGATTTTTTAAAAAACCAACTGTTTTTGTAGATACAGAAAGGGTTTAATTCATTTAATTACCTGTCCATAGCACGGTCACGCATTCTATCTCTTTGCCTCTGTTTCTCTTTTCTTTGTTTTGACTCTTCATCATCTCCAGTTGCTACAGAATATTATTTAAGCCAAATGTTTATTAATAGTTTCACCCAACTCTTACACAAACAAAGCAAGACACAGAGAACAAGAAGGGCTAAATGGAAGGGCTATAAAGGTGTGGGGTAGAGGAATCAGATGTCACCTATGGTGAAACAATATAATGAGTGCAAAGCAAAGCTAAGATGGCAGTTCTTTTAACATACTTCTTGGAATAGGAAGACTTTATTTTTTGAGCCATGTCTCCTTCTGCCTTGATCTGCATTTTTTCAGGACCAATTGTAGATCTCACATGACAACTAAAAAGCATTTACCTTGTCAATGCACCATATAGCAAAGTTATTTTTAAAGTTATTTACAGTGTTTGGAAACTCATATGATTGCATCATCTCGACACAAGCATAGCACATAAACTGCAAGAATATTTGCACAAATGCTTACCCAAGGAAAAAATACTACATGCACCAGGCAGAATGCAACCCAGTGGAAGGATTTTTCAATAGTGCTTATTAAAGAGGTTTTCATCCTTCAATCAGCCCTAAAAAACAGAACCCTCTGGTAGTATAACAGTGATGAATGCAGGGGCATGAGTAGTAAAGAATTCAGACACATATCCTCACTAAGTTGTAACGTTCACTGGGTGGCCTTAGGGAAGCTAGTTTCTTTTATGGGATAACTGAAAGCTATAATTTTGCTGAAGGTATGTTTAAGAAATACATGATTTACATATAAGAAACAAGTTTTAACAAAATAGAAGATACTGGATGGTTTAATTTCAAATTTACCACAAAAAAGGTGTGCCAATCTGCATCCCTTCGCCAGAAAAATGGACACTATTACTGGGTTAAAACTGCTCTTCCCTTATAGACCTATCTCAACAAGAGTTAGGGATGTCTGTGGAATAGATGTGGAGGACATATGGAGAGCTTAGGGAGGAGAGAAGGAGGAAATCTCCTTTTGCATGAGTGGACCACTTTGATAATACTGAATTTAGCTACAAGTGTTCACAACGCATGTAAGTGGGACAAATACATCAGGTCAGCCCAAAATATCTCCTAGATCAGGCAAGGGCAAAGTGCAAGCATGGAGATGTTCTTGTAATGCAACTCTCATCAGTTTTCGCCTGAATAGCCATTGATGAAGAATGTTGGGAGCATCATCTGGGAAGCTCAACTTGTCCTTTCCTAGCATAGGAATTTTATGCAGCTCCGTCTCCTCTAATCTTCTATAATAAACAATCCAGGGAACATGGATGATTGGTTAATGGGCAATGATTTGATAGCAAAACAGGTAATGCCTGGTTTGACTACAATGTGAGGCACAAATATTTATTTTCCAGCTTCAGACCCTGCCAGTGAGCTTCTAGAGCAGACATGGGCAAACTCTGGCCCTCCAGGTGGTTTGGATTTCAATTCCCACAATTACTAACAGCTGGGAGCTGAAATCCAAAATACTTGGGAGGGCCAAAATTTGCCTATGCCTGTTCCAGAGAGATTGGGGTAATCATTTTAGCATTCTAGGTTACAATGGATCATGATCTATGCAGAAAGGCAGTTTACTAAGCCACTTTCTAGTGATCTATGTCACAACCAGCTGTTCAGCTTAGTGATATTTAGAATTGTTTATACAACGGAGGGATAAAGTACTTAATTTCTACAATTATCAGTATAGGTATTATAAAAGTCTAGTTTGAACTTCTATTTTTATTAAAGGCACTGAAAGGAAGGAAAGAGAAGTCTGCTAAATAAGCTTCACCCTACCTTTCCCCTTGAGTGCTTCATTGCCTTCCCTGTGCTCCTTTAAAAGAAAAAAAGGGGGTGCACAAGGTGAGCACTCTACATCTCTATGCAGTTTCATGCAAATTGTGCTGCATTATAATTCCAACAATAATGTTTCCAACTCGAGGTTGAGAAGACAAAAAAGAAAAGTTGAGAATGATAAGTTGTCATTCTCAGACAGAGCCAATGTAAATTCAATTACATAAGAAATCAAAATCAATGTATATTCAGTTACATAAGAAACTTACAGACACACTGGAAAAGAAACGTTAAAGGGTTTGAGAACATTACTTACACCTTTGTTTCCTTCATCTCCTGACTTGTCATCTTCTTCTCCATCATCTGTTAAATGCACAAAATATCACTTAACAACTGTTGAAAAAGCATTGATCTAGAAGAGATATAGTGTTCAAATTTAAATTGGAAAACTCTCAAGCACTGTGAAGATGACTTTATAGAATATATTTTTCTATCTCTTATTTATCTCATTAAAGGGATCCAAGCAACCAATTTCACTGGAAATAGCACACTATTTCACTGCAAGACTTGAACTAATCTATTATTTCTATGACATTTAAAAGAATGTGGTAAGAATACACATTTGTTGGGCAAATCCCAGGAGGTGGCAATGTGGTTCTCCAAATGTTGTTGGATTGGAACTCCTAACAAACCCAGTAAACAGAGCCATGGTGAAGGATGTTAGTTGCAACTGTAGCAATATGTAGTCATTGGCTGTCTATTCATCTTACAGCAAAGAAAAACTAGTGTGCTAGTCCTTTCTGAAACTTGCAGAGTAGAATAAAAACACTACCATTATCTGAGTCATCTCTTTCGCTTTCAGTCTTTGCTTGTTTGCTGTCTGGCTCATCTCCACTTTGGGATTGTTTTCGTTTATGGAATCCACCTTCATTATCTGAACGTCCACCAAAACGGCCACGGAAAACTCTCTTCTTGGGCTAGAAAAATAAATGGAAAGAAACATGTCCGGCACACCCTACATCAACATGATCTAAGAACTGTAAAATGAAATATAAAAGTGTAAGGCTAGAATACCCAGGGAATCTGGTGAAACAGAAGGCTTTTTAAGCCACAACTCTGCAGAATGGTGGAGAGGGGAGAGCCAGACCAGTGGTGAACCCACACAGATCTATGCCTAGGCAGCTGACCAGATGAGAAATAACGTCAGAGAAATTATTTTGTTGGAAGATCCCTTTCCGCTCGTCTATCAAAAGTACATATGTGCTAACTCAAAAGAGGTGGTCCATGAACTGCTGCCAATCCCTGAACCATTGGTGGTGGGCTCTGTGAGTTTCCAGGAAAGAAAGAAGCAGCTGTAGCCAATGGGCACAAATATGGTGCCCCTTCTTGGGGAAAAATAACTGTTGGCTTGTCAAATAAAAAAGCTTTGGAAGCACTGTCCTAAAGCAAGGCTACTCAAAATGGCGACCACTGGCACAGACCACTAACTCTGTGAAGATAATTTCCCATCTATGATAATGTATAAACATCTGTCTATAAACAACTGAAGCAATCTGATTTACAAAGAACAACTTTTTAAGGAGGTATAAGTGTAACAGATCTTAATGCGTTAAACTTACTCTGCCATGTGATCTGCCGAAGCCATAGGGCATGTTCCTGGGAAACCTTCCCATTCCCATTCCCGGTGTTCCCGTCATGCCATAATCATAATCCCCACAGTTGCCAAAGTCCCCATAGTCATCACAGTCTCCATAATCACCGTAATCTCTATACTCAGGAATGAGGTCTTGGGAAAAGAGAGGTGGAGGTCTGTTAGATCCAGATCCTCCCATATTCCTTCCACCCATATAATTCATCTCATTCCATCGTGTAGAGAACCGTTCTGTACTTGATGGCATGAAACGGTCACGATTGAAAGTGTTGAGATGCCCTCGATTCTGGACCCTCCCTCTAGCAAAGCCATAGCTGTTTCCTCTGTTGCGTGGCTGATCTTGTGGGTTACCAGCAGCATCGTAGTGACTTCCAAAGGAATCGTTCTGATTGGATCCAACTTCATTATAGTCATAGCTGATCCTGTACATGTCACGGTCTGGCACTGAAGCTCTAGAGTCATAGGACTCAAAAGACTCAAATCTGAAAGAGCTGCATCATAAGCGAAAAATCCAGTCAGAATTTAGAGAGGGTTTCTTTGCTAGTTTTGACAGATTAAAAATTCCCATGTTTGAGTCTTATTTGCTCTCTATAAAAGAGATGTAATTAGTTGATGGAGAACACTCTTTGCATGCAAAAATTCCCAATTTTTGGCATCTCCAACTACGATTAGAATAGAACCTACTGGTTTAGAGAGATCACTGATCTCATTTTGTATCAAACATCTTTCTATATCCAAATGCATTAGGAGTAGGTATAGTTGAATGAAACTCTTTTAGAAATGTTAGGAATCATTCCTTTGTAACTTGCCAAATAAAAAAGGTTCCTAAAGTTACATAAAATGCTTTCCTAAGAGAGTTCACATTGTGCAAATTGAAGACAGAAAATAGTTGGTTCAGCTATCATGTCTACATTGGGCACTAGATAAGAAAAAATGCAATATGCAATCTGTTTGAAATTTGAATAATTGATGTCTCAAATAAGAGCAAATCAGATTTTCCTTATGTCAGCTTGTCTTCATTTGAATGAAATACATGTACAGGTAGTCCCTGAGTTACAAACATCAAACTTATAAATGACTCCTAGTTAAGAATGAGGGTGGGACCACAGGAAGTAAGAGAAATCTATCCCTAGGAAAGGAAATTCACTCCTGGAAGAGTTATTATTGTGGGGAACAGATGTCTCTACTGAAGCATTCTCACCAATCCTTGTTTCCACAACAAGCCAAATTTTTAAAATTCCAATTAGCACAGGGACAGGAAGTGAGACAAAATCTTCTGAACAGGGGCACATACAGCAAAACAAACACCACAGGCGTGTAAACCCTTTCCTGTGCTATCCAAAGCTGATAGATAGATAGATAGATAGATGGATGGATGGATGGATGGATGGATGGATGGATGGATGGATGGAGTTACACTTTAAAATGTATCTGTTCTGACTTACATAAAAATTCAACAAGAACAAACCTATAGAATCTATCATGTTCAGAACCTGGGGACTGCCTGTAATTAGAAATTAACACACACACACACACACATGTAAGTGTATCAAGATGACTATATTTTGATTCTTTACATATATTCAAGGAATGAATAAAGTTCTATAGTTTCTTAAACTTTAAGGATGTTTATTCGAAAACTAAACATGATTTTTAGAAGAAAAAAATTCTCACCTTCCCTGATCCTCCATGCCCCCTCCAGCACCACTATTGCTTTCCTTTGACATCATATCCAGACGCTGGTTTATTTTTGCTATAATTGAATCATTGTTTTCTGTTCCTGCTGCCCCAGTATTGTAATTCACAACTGGCATACCAGTGCCCATGTCTGTACTCATTGACATATTAGTAGTTTTAGAAGTGTCCCATGTGGTTGTGGCAGCAGTGGCAGCAGCATTATAGTTGTATGTGGCAGCTGTAGCAGAATTGCTGGCTTGTGCACTGTAATAATCATAGCCTTCATATCCTGGCAAAATAGGACAGCCAAGGTGCACAATGTTCAAAAACTGAAAGAAGGATTTGATTTCTCAAATTTTCACCTAATTCAATAAATAATAATAATCATAATAATCATAATCATCATAATAATCATCATTATTTTTATCCTACCCCCTCTTCCTAGCAGGAAAGACAATATAAATAATAAATAGAAGCCACAGCCAAATTAAATGCAAAAACAGTTATTAGATACAATTATTTATTATGGTATATTATCAGAATCCACTATTAAAAAACAGTAAAAATTAGCTTTAATGGTGTGCCCAATCTAGTTACACTAATGCAAGTGTTGGATAATCTAGGTTGTTTAATTATTTCAATTATTTCAGTTTTTCTCTATAAAAGGACATTTAACCCATCATTCCCTGAAAAGAGCGAAGACTAAAATTATGAGTAAGCATTACAGCACCTAAACCACAGGTAATTCTGTATTTTAAAAATGAAGCCAGCTTCAATGTGTTTCTGCCTATTATGATTTGCAAGGCTTACCTCGGGCTATGGGTCAGTGCACTGTTTATGGTTGGTGGTGGCAGGTATTCAAGAGTCAGGCTACTGTTCTGGTTTGCTCAGAAGAACCCGACAGGCTACATCTCCCGTATCTCATCATCTCCTCAATTCAGTCCTTCCCCACTCCTTGGTCTCTGTTCCTGCTAACCATATTTTCCTCCACCCACCATGTAACTTTCCACTAATTGTTCCTCCGGGGTTGCTTTATCTATACAGCTACATTAAAGTCTCAGATTTCTCCACTGATTTATACAGACATTTCTCACTTCCATTTCTGAGAAAATTTAAAATCAATTATTTAAATTTCACCCAAAAATGATTTATCCACACTATGAGACAGTATTCTCAACCGATTTATATCTCTATTATTTCCTGACTTTTACTGTATCTCTTTCCTCTTTTTTTTTTTTCCTCCTGGAGGAAAAGAAGAAAGTGAAAGGCACAAATTAAGCAAAGAAAGACAAAGGAAGAGATACAAATCACAGTCATGAACGATCTACTCTCCCATTTATAATCTCTGAACTTCTTCCTTCTTTCAACCAGCTTCTCTTGTCCATCTGCCGATGGATCAGCAGGATTTTGAAGCCTCCCAAACTTTCAGTCACACCTCCTCTTCCCCAGCTATTTCATTCTCCTATAAGGTTCTTTTTCTTTGCCAATCCACTATGTTCTGTGGCTATTGAACATGCAAAGTCCTCCTGAGGTTTTTGTTTTTAAAAAATATGTGTTTTTGCAACCCCTGAATACCACCAATCAAAGTGAAATTTCTTTTCTTTTGGCTCAGTAGCCTAAAAGAGCTGTAAGCACACTGGGACAAAATTCAACATTAGAATGAATGATAAGCTATATAGGAAACTAACTTAGACCGAGTCCAACCTTAGGTCTGGCTAGCAAACTAGTACATGCAGCCCTCCAAGGTAATTTACCCAGCCCCCGCCCTAAAATTTAGACTTAGGCTGGCCCTAAGTCTGAAAGTACTTGAAAGCACACAACAATCCTAATTAAAGCCAAAAGCAGGTCCACACTTCGCATTGAAATACTGATAAGTTTATGTTAGTTAAAACTATTCTTCATTTTAAATACTGTATTGTTCTTGCAGTTTTTGGTACTACACATACAATACATGCAGTGTGCATAGGAATTTTTTAAAAAACTATAGTCTAGCCGCCCAACAGTCTGAGGTATCATGAACCAGGCCTCTGTTTAAAAAGTCTGCTGACTTGTACTCTAGGCTTTGGTCAGCATTCTTTAATTCTCTGATATCCCCAGGTGGTCTCTCACTCAAGAACGAAGCAGGTTAAGCTCTGCTTTGCTTCTGCATTCAGATATGATTATGTGTATTCAGGATGGTAAGAGTATCAACGCCTCTATCAGTTCATCTTTCCAAGTACAAAAATGCTGTGAAAAACCCCATAGTGTACTATAGGGAGAAAAAAGCTTCAGAAGAGAGCACCACCATGACAGCACAGTGAAAAGGCATACCTTGCCAACTTGCTGGGTTTGCAGCATATGCATCTGAACAGAACAGAGAGAGATAAATGTTTATTAATTCATTAAAGACATCAGTCAAGGTTATGTAACTATGTAATGTAGGGTTGAGTTTATTCCTCTTGATGTTTATGGGGCAGGGCCACATAAATGTTATATCATTTATATCAAACAAATTATACTGTATCCATATGTAATACTATTTATTTGATTATCATACAACACAATCAACATAAGAAAATTGAACTGTGGTTTCTTCTGGTAAAAAAACCACTATAATTTCTTCAGATTTTATCTTCTAGCTTTAGATATATAAATTTACAAAAGGCAAATACAACAGAAGCTATAGAAAATCAATGTATGGATATCAACAAGTTGCTTGTTGATTTACAACAACTCCATTAATTTCATGGGGTTTTGCCAGTTCCTCCCTCTGAAATGTAACCTACTGTCCCTGGTATTCATTAGTACAGAGTGCAGCAGCATAACTTCCTTTTTTTCAAAACTTAATAAAACCCATTGTATGAATCAGAATTTTTTTTATAATGTAGGCGCATATCTAAAGTTTTGTTTTACATAGTTTTGAAGATCAGATTAGGTAGGTGACGTCCCCCATTCTCCATTACTTTTTTGTCATGACTCTTGCCAGCATAGCAGGCGTTATGTTGGCAATTTCTTCCTGGATGTTGGTCTTCAAATCTTGTAGGGTCCTTGGACAGTTCACATAAACACAGGATTTCAAAAAACCCCATAGAAAAAAAAATCACAAGGAGCCAAATCTGGAGGGGGCCGGCCATCGATACTCTTGAAGTGTGTGCAGTTGCACTGTCTTGTTGGAACCAAAGGTCCCCTAAGTCCAACCAATCTAACTGTGGGGAAAAACATTCCTGTAACATGTTTATATACCAATCCGAATTCACTGACACTGCGACTTCATTTTCCTCAAAGAACCAGGGACCAATAATTCCAGCTGAGAAAATTGCACACCACACTGTGATTTTAGGTGAATGCAAAGGCCTTTGATGCAATTCTCGAGGATTGCTGTCAGCCCAGTAGTGCATGTTTTGTTTGTTGACAGATCCACACAAATGAAAATGGGCTTCATCACTAAAAAAAAACAATAGCGTCCTCAGGAACAACTTCGAGAAGAACCTCACACGCGTTCCTCCAAGAATTGAAGTCACGTTCAGAAAGTTCCTGCACAATCACCATCTTGTAAGGATGGGAAATGAAGATCATCATGAAGAATTCTCCTCACAGAACGATCGGAAAGTCCAAGGGCAGACGCATGTTTGTGCGCAGAACGCCGTGGTGATCGCAACATTGAAGCTCTCACTGCCTCAATGTTCTCAGGTGATCTAATGGGCCGAGGGACTCCAGTTCTTCATTTTGTCGCACTTGCAGTTTGTCTGAATGTAGTGACCCATGTCACAATTGATTTCCGGTCCGGGACAGGGGCCAATGGGGCTAAATTAAAGCGATTCCGAAAGGCACGCTGGGTTGCGATCACAGAACATCCGCTCGAAAAGTAGGCTTCAACGGCAAAAGCACGCTCCTCACTGTTCCAATGCATGATGGCGACTGAACTGTGTCAAGACAAAACTTTATACTGCAGCCTCTCGAACGAGACCACTAACGCTCCACTACGTTTTCAACCGACTGAATGGTGCGCATTTTAAAAAAGGAAGTTATGCTGCCGCACCCTGTAGTATCCCATTCAAGTACTAATTAGAGCTGACGCTGCTTAGCTTCCAAAAGCAGATGGAACCTGGTTCCATGCAGGTACTTAGGTCCAGATATTAAATAGAAAAGGTAAGGGTTTCCCTTGACATTAAATCTAGTCGTGTCCAACACTGGGGTGTGGTGCTCATCTCCATTTCTAAGCTGAAAAGCCGGCATTGTACATAGACACCTCCTAGATCATGTGGCCAGCGTGACTGCATGGAAAGTTGTTACCTTTCCACAGAAGCAGTTCCTATTCATCTATTCACATTTGCATGTTTTTGAATTCTAGGTTGGCAGAAGCTGGGGCTAACGGCCAGGGCCGGTTCTTCCATTACGCTAAGTAAGCGGTTGCGGAATAGTTTGTTTTTCCAGGGGCGCCTCGGCGCCTCCGTAAATACCCCTCCACAGTTGCGAGTCGCAATCTTTCTCTGCCTCCAGAGGCGGCTCAAGGCAAATCACACTTTTGCTTAGAGCGCGCGTCTTGGGGGTGGGGGGCGCTCTTGAGCTCCCACGCATGGCCTCCGGGGGAAACGAGAACTGACGGGGGACTCGGTGGAGAGCATGAGGAAGATCAATATGGCGCTTCCTGGCCTGGGGAGGGCTGGCGAGAGAAGAGGGGGCAAAGTGTGCAAAAGGAGAGCCGTGGGAGGGGCAAAGGGACAGACCCCTCTTCTGCCTGTCTTTCCCCTTCATTGGGTTCAGGAGTTGGAGTCTCAGTTTGGCCACAATCCGTGACTTGGTGTGGGAAACTCATTCCCATTTGGTTACTTTTCTGCAATGTTTTGGGGAGGAAAGGCTTGGAATATGGCTTCTCCTCTTCGTTCTCTTCCTCCTCCCACTACTTTGGGACGAGCAGAGATTTCTCCCTGGTGTCGCGAGGAGTCCTGAGGTGTTGGTGTGTTGCCTTCAGGGACTGAACTCTTTGTTGTTGCTCCCGCCTGCTTCTCTTTGGCTTGCAGCAAATGGTTTGCCCGAAGAGCAGGCTTCCCTTCTCTTCTCTTCCTTTCCCTTCTCCCTCCCTCCCTCTCTCTCTCTCCCGTCCCCTCGGCCTTTCCAAGAGCAAGATTCCTTTCCTTTCCTTTCCCCTTCCTTCTCTCTCTCTCTCTCTCTCCCCCCCCCCCCCTCATCCTTTTCAAGAGCAGGCTCCCCTTCTTTTCTTTTCCTTTCCCTTCTCCCTCCCGCGTCCTTTTCTTCCGTGGAAGGAGAGACTTTCCGTCGAGATCTTCCCGAAGCTCTCGAGGTTTGTAAAGCGTCAGATCTGGATAATATGGAGCGTTTCCTAGTTTCCCAAGTTTCTCCTCCTCTCCCTTTCCCTCTCCACGAGCTGTGGTTTCTGCAAAAGGCTTGAAATCCAGCCCCAGGCTTTCCAGCCAGTCCAGGATATTTAATATTGTGTGTTCATATAATATTTATAATATTATAATGTAATATAATACTACTACTAATAATACAAAATAATAATTATATATTTTATAGTAAAGGTTTTCCCCTGACATTAAGTCCAGCGTGTCCAACTCTGGGGGTTGATGCTCATCTCCATTTCTAAGCCAAAGAGCTGGCATTGTCCATAGACACCTCTAGGTCATGTAGGGCCAGCATGACTGCATGGAGCACCATTTACCTTCCCACGAGTGGTACCTATTGATCTACTCACATTTGCATGTTTTCGAACTGCTAGGTTGGCAGAAGCTGGGGCTAACAGCAGAAGCTCATGCCACTCTCTGGATTCGAACCTGCGACCTTTTGGTCAACAAGCTTAGCAGCTTAGTGCTTTAACCCTCTGCACCACCAATAATATATTTTAATATATATAAAATATATTATTTTATATATATTTTATAATATATTTTATATTACATTTAATATTACTAATAATATTATAATATATTGTATGCATATATATCTTGTAAGCCGCTCTGAGTCCCCTTCAGGGTGAGAAGGGCGGCATATAAATGCCGTAAATAAATAAATTATATAATATAATGCCAAGTTTTCAAACTTTGATTGTGTGCATGTTTTCTTTTAAATACAGTACAAAGGTACCCTTGGTTTGGTCTGATACCATAAATAAATAAATACTAGGGAATCCTGGAGGCACCAGGACGCTTTGGTAAAGAAGGCTAAAGATCTTAGAATTTAGAATTAATGAAGTTAGCCCTGACATTGGCAAACTTTGGCCCTCTAGGCATTTTGGACTTCAACTCCCATCATTCCTAACAGCCTCAGGCCCCTTCCTTTCCTCCCTTTTCCTGCTTAAGCGGCTGAAGGGGAAAAGGCTGTTCAAGGACCTGAGGCTGTTAGGAATGGTGGGAGTTGAAGTCCAAAACACCCAGAGGGCCAAAACTTGTCCATGTCTGAGTTGGCGCCACTTTTAAGTGCCATGGCTCAATGCTAGGGAATTCTGAGAGATGTTGGGTGCTTCCAAACTGTAGAATTAATGCAGTTGAGTCTCGCTTTTAATTGCCATGGCTCAATGCTAGGACTTGTGTTTTGGTGAGGCACCAGCACTCTGTTACAAGTATTGCAATCGTTATGGCCATCCAAATGAGGTCCTAAGGAAGAGTCTTACCCTCTCTGTATAGGTAAGACTGTATTTTCATTGCAACTCAAGAGTGCATCTCCACTGTCCAATGAATGTAGTCTGGCTGACTTTTAACAGCCATGGCTCAATACTAGGAATTTCAGTTTCTCAAGTCACTCCTGACACGTAAATTTTTTTTTTGTGAGGCAGCATTTTAATAAGAAAGGCTAAAAACCTTGGGTGCATCTAACACTGTAAAGTTAATGCATTATGACCCCACTTTTAGGTGCCAGGAGTCAATGCTATGGAATCCTGGAGAAGTGTAGTTTAGTGGAGCACCAGGACTTACAAAGAAGGCTAAAGTATTGTAGTTTGGTGAGGGACCAAGGCATTCAGCAAGTGGCGCAGTGGGTTAAAGCACTGTGCCGGCAGGACTGAAGACCGACAGGTCACAGGTTCAAATCTGGGGAGAGGCGGATGAGCTCCCTCTATTAGCTCCAGCTCCTCATGCGGGGACATGAGAGAAGCCTCTCACTAGGATGAAAAAAACTTCAAAATCATCCGGGCATCCCCTGGGCAACGTCCTTGCAGACGGCCAATTCTCTCACAACAGGAACTGTTGCTCCTGACACGACAAAAAAAACAAAACAAGTATGGCAGGGACGTAGCAAGTATCTTTATGGCCATCCAATTGAGGTCCTTAAGAGAGTGCCTCTGTGCATGGATGAGACTAT